ATTGTTGTATGGAATTTATTTAATCTTTTGCTAAACTTCTGATTTAAATATAGAACTACGATTACACAGTTTTGGAGGTATGTGACAGAATAATTATTTAATTGATGGTAGACTTTGGAGGGGAAAATGTCTGATCTTCAATATGGACAAAAACTGAGTAACTTATGTAAGATATTCTTCTCTGTTCCTGCCTTAACTGAATGAAAATAAGGTGATTTGGAATCTAGTATATGATACCCATTATTGGATTTATTTTCAGATGTGACCGATTTTGAAAGCTATGGAAATGTGGTTAAGAGTGTTGACTCAGTTGTGCAAAATGAAGGATTAAATGTACTCATCAACAATGCTGGTGTTTCTTCCAAATTTACCAGAATAAATTTTGTGAAAGTTGAACAAATGATCAATGGCTTTATGACAAATACTATTGCTCCATTAATGTTAACAAAGGTATTGTATAAAAGTGCCACATACTACCTCTCTGTCATTGTTCTTACTTTCTCACATAAGTGGTGATAAATCTGCACACATTCTCAATTGAATGGAGGTGTTTAACAGTCCAATCATAGTAATGCTATGTGGTAGAGTAGGTGGTTGACGCGCTATGCTACAAGCTGGACGTCGTGGGTTCGAGTCCTGATGAGGTGGATGCTTTCAATTTACCTAATCCTTCCAGCTGCACTATGGTCCTGAGGTCGACTCAGCCTCTAACAGAAATGAGTACCAGGAATCTTCCTGGGGAGTAAAGGGTAGCCAGCATGTAAGGCTAATAACCTTGCCACCACCTGTGAGAAAATGTGGGAGCCTCGACATCTCACAACCCTATAGGCCTTCAAGCCTTGTTACAGAGATAACTTTACCTTTTGCCTTTATCTAGTATTAATAGATCAGGAGGCTGGAAGACCCCATAGCCATTATCCAGCTTTCAAGGTCATGCCTAATTTTTTTCTAATTGTTGATTTTCAGATGTTTAGTATCTATTTGTAGGTGGAATTTAAATGACCATTTACACTTCCAACTTGTTGGGTATTAGAAAATAATAATTACATTCACTGCTGTCAATTTCAGGGTAATGAAACAGAATTTTTTAATCCCTTGTGTATGAACTGTCATGTCCCAAAGGAACTGAGATGTGACAAATGAGCTACCCCGTAAATCATGGCCCAGCCAATTCCAGATGAAATCAGTTCTGTATGTGGTAAATGTATAACCCTTTGAATGCCCTTTCAAGTCCAGGTAGTATATCTCTTAAAAAATTATTCATATACATATAAAATATTGGAATCTGTAATTCTTAGATAATTCTTCCATTACGAATGCTATCAGTTATTCTTGTATCAGTAACAATAAGTGCAGTGTTCCTAAATATATTTCTAATCAGGAGTGTGGCCCAGAGGATTACCGACTGGAAAGCAGACAACCAAAGTATGATCTCTGGAGAAGGACTCAGAATTGTTATTTTCACCAGCATGTCCCAAAATTTTGGAATTCTACCAAATCTGTCCAGTGGATTGTTGTCTGTCCATAGGAAATAGTCCGCTGCCCCCACAGGTGCAGACAGCTGACTGCTCATCACTCACCTTGTGCTGAAGTCTGGTAGTGAATCAGGATAGTGGTATTCCATAAGAGTTGTTGACATTTATCTGACTACAGATGATGTATGAATGAAGAATCACTATGTTTAATGTGTGAACAATCATTACTTTTACATTTCCAGGAACTTCACTTTAGCATTACAGGTGAAAATGCTGCTCATTGCCAGGTTTCTTTGTTTTCCTCCAGGTACATGAAGTACATGAATTTTGCTGAAGAGATGTATCTCAGTTTTCTTCCAGTTATGTATAAAACTAAAATATTCTGAACACAGTCATGAAATTCCATTAATATGATTCAAGTGTACTTTTGAATCATATGGTAACATTATAGGCTGGAAGAACACCAGAATTAAAATGTAATTTAAATAAATTTGTACTATGACACGTTTCTGTTTGGCAGAGGATAAAGTGAGACACCAACCTTCGTATCTTATTGGACACATAGGCATATGAATCAGTTAAGCCTGATCCTTCCCATTATAAATCAGTAGTTGCGATGGTTCAGCCATTTATACAGGTTACAGCAACATGACAGTTTTGAGTTCACAGGCCAGTAGATGAAAGTATGAGTAAACGGTAAAGCTATTCTGTAGCAGGCTCTGGAGGTCCATAAGATTGTGAGATGTTGAGGCTTCCACATTTTCTAGACAGTTGGCTCACTCATGGCAGTGAGGTTGTCAGCCTTATGCCCCCCCCCCCCCCAAGGAAGAATCCTGGTGCTCATTTCTGTTAAAGGATAAATTGATCTCAGGGACATACTGCAACTGGAAGGATTATGGTTAATTGAAAAATCCAGTGACATTTGGAATTAAACCCGTGACCTTCTGTCTTGCAGCATAGTGCCTCAACCAACTATGCTACTGTATTCCCAGATAAAGGTCTGAGTACTGAGTAGTAGAGAAAAAGGAATTTAAATGTTGCTTAATAAGGATCAGTTAGTTTCATTACAAGTGAAAGGTTTGTTAGTTCTAATGATGTTACAATATGAATTTCAGGCTTTTGTTCCTCTTCTGAAAAAAGCTGCACAGAATAAATCGTCAGAGTCACTCAGTGCATCAAGAGCTGCTGTTATCAACTTCAGTTCTGTTTTGGGTTCAGTAGCAGAAAATTCACAAGGAGGTTTATATCCGTACCGAGCCAGTAAGGTATAGTAAGAGATTCTGGTCTTCAGTTATGTCAAATTATATGAATTAGTGCTTTTTACTTCTGTCTTTTAGGGTCAGAATTTTATCATATCTATTCACAGGGCTCAAGAAGTATAATTTAAATCAGCACTGAACAGAATTAATTTGCTGTAGTTTTGTGACATGCTTCATGCTGATGTATTTATATGCAGGGGTTTAACAACTGAATGTTATATCTTGAAATCAGAAAAACAAAGACTGTACAATCTTTAATTTAATTATCTATGTTACGTATAATAATACATTATTTATATATTACATTTTTAATGCGTTTGGAGTCTGCATCATTCTTTTAACTCAGTTCAGGTAAGTGAGCATGCATGTTTCTGGGTATTTTACATACTGAATTGCATTTTCCAAACGTCTCTGCATGTTGATACATGTGACTGGTGCTACCATTAGATACTTTTGATGTGGAAAGGAGAGATTCATGATTGCCTCCCAGCAAGGCAGATACAGCAAACCTGTAAAGAATAAAATGAAGGAGATAAACTGAAATTGTATTTCTTAAACCTTGTAACTAACTAGCTCAAAGGGACAGATTCCTTCTTGAGAAGTGGATAGTTGCTTACTTAATTGAGAAATTCCCCATCCTTTATAGAATCCAAAGCTTCATTGCCATGTTCACAATAGCCCATCACTGCTCTCTGTACTGAGCCAGCTGAATCTAGGCTGCTCCATACATTCACATTCTGTTTCTTTGCAATCTGTTTTTATATTATTGTGTCATATATGCAAGTGAATTATTTCCTCCCTTTGCATTCCCTGTCTATGCAGCATGTACTACCAATCTCATCCTCCTTAATTTCTTAATTTGATTACCCTAACAATATTTGGTGAAGAATATTGTCAGCCACTGCCTGAAAGCAACTTGAATCAGTCCTATGCATTGGTTAGCGTATAAATATCATCCTTTACTACAAAAAAAGTGCTATAATTTTCCTCTCCACAAAGTGGAGCTTCACATACATTGGGTGATGTAACTGAGATTGGAGGAACCATGTAATATATTTTTGCTCATTTTATTATTATTTTATCACATATATGGAAATGAAATAATGAGGCCCAACAGCTCAGCCAGTCTGAATGATTGTATTTTTGTTCCTGTCATAGAAATGCTTCTCATCATCATCATATTTATAGCCACTTGGAGGTCCATCCAAAATTATGTCATATGGGTACCAAGTGCACGTTTCCTGGTAATGAGGACAGCCAATGCATCCAGCTTACCACCCAGCTCAGTATAGTACCAAGTCTGAGAGTGTGTGGACTTCTAGTCTCAAGATTCCCTACATCCCCTTACAACCTAATTATTATCCATCAGGCCAAGTTCATAGGTTATGAATATTTTTCATTCAGTGTATCATCTTTTAAAAATTACTTCTGATTCACTGATCCAGGTATAAAGAAATCTAGATTTGTATTGTTAAGTTTCATAGGAGTAAGTTCACAGAGACTTTGTGATAATAGTTATCTCCCATCATGAATACTTCACTACTTATCTACGATTTGAACAGCCAGGAGACAGACTTACTGTCAATGAAAAAGTCAGTGTCGTATAATAGGTAACTGATAAAGCCATTTTCCTTTCTCTCTCTCTCTCTCGCCACATGATTTTTCGCATGGGATGGTTGAAAAAAAGCTGATTTTTATATTTGTACAAGGTCATTTGATGATACATATGTTGTTTTTGCACTGTTTAGGATTATCACAGCAGCTGGTGCTTGTTGCAGCACCCACAAGCTGTAGCACATACATTCCCTTAAAGCTTTTGTGCACACATTGACTGGTGTTGGCAGGAAGACATCCAAGCATTATAGAGTGGATAGAGGTGCCCTCTGTGACATTTAGGTAAAGGATCTGCAGCAGATACCTGTGACTTCTGTGGCAGTTAACATGTTAAAGATCAAAGGCCCATAATACGAGTAACAGATAAGAAAAAATCCAGCCTTTCCTCAGTACACTGACAAATTCCCAACACAAAATTCACAGAGTGCCTGGAATGTATGTGCTGTAATTTTCTTATTCTGTCTTCCTCTGTTTAGTATTTTCAAATTTATTTCAGGCAGCATTAAATGCTGTTACACGTTCTATGAGTGTTGACCTCAAATCTGATGGAATATTAGTAACCAGCATGCATCCAGGATGGGTGAAAACAGAAATGGGTGGACAAAATGCAACACTTACTGTGGAAGAAAGTGTCAGCAACCTTATTAAAACAGTTTTGGCTCTGAATGAGAAGCACAGTGGAAAGTTTATTCAATATGATGGGCAGGAGGTGCCCTGGTAATTCAGTGCCAGCTTACATTGTAAGTGAGAAGAAAAGAATTTCTTGATATTTGAGTTTATCACAGTAAAGATTCATACTTGCAGTCTTCTGGGTCATAATGCTGTGTAATCTGGTAGATAGCTAACATTATTCTATCCCAAAGATGGTGACAGGCTTGTCCTCCAAAATTCTGGTAATTTGGGTAGCCTGAAGATGGAGGCAATATTTTCTCTGAATTGCTGGTGACCAGAGGACTATGAGGATTGAGGCATATTTTCCTTTGAAACATTGATTAATACCTATAAGATTATATGGTGTAATAATTCACGATGATGTAAGTCTTAATAGAAAGAAATATGGAGGCAAGGATGTATGTAATTCATTTGATTATACTAATATACCTTACACTAGTGCAATTTAAATAAGCACAACATGTTATAAAATGGTGTTTGACAATCATTTACAACAGAATCATTGAAGAATATATTTTTCATAAATGTAATTTATTTTAATGAGACAGCAAGCACTTTTCAGAATACATGCACTCCACATTATATGCAATTTTGAAAAATGTGATATTTTTATGTGCTCAGCTAATTTAAGTTAATAACACGAATTTCTTGGTTGATGATCAAAAACTGAGGAAGGGAGATTGAGGAGCAAAGTATTGTGTGCATGGTGGAAGAGGAATGCAAGGTGTGAAGGGAAAATTATGTTTGATTTATGCAATTTCACTCTTTGTGATCTATTTTTTTAACACTTCTGTTGTATAAATCAAGGAATACCTGTACTTGACATTTTTAAACACTATAAATTTGTTCCATAAAGTCTAGTTTAATATATTTCAACAAACTGGTAACCAATGACAGAGATAGAAATGAACCACGTTCTTCCTTAGTTTCTTGTGCTAATTAAACCTCTTACTTGTTCATTAAGATAACCTTAGTGCTGGTATAAATACTTGAGATGTGCCTGTATAAAAATGTCTTTACATTTTAAACAAACTCCTCAATAATTGTGGTACTATTCTGCCCTTAATGTGCATGTATTAAAATTAATAAAACTGGAATTGTAGCGTTGCAAGATGTAACAGATTGACAATTATTCATGTCAATGGATTGCTGTTTCCTCCACAGTGACAGTAAGCTCTCAGAGTTTTATTTTGTGTTGTTATGCACGTCCTCTTCTTGAAATTTATAGTTATTTGCCTGACTTGCTACCATATTTCACATATCTTATGCTGTGCAGAAGTTGGAGCCATCTCTTTGATTAGTATACTTACATTGTACGAGTACTTAATTCCAATTTAGCAATAGAGGATGTGTAGGTTTTGTGTGGAATATGGAATATGTCATGCTTGGTATTGATGACATTTATATATTTGAAGCAACTATGGATTCTGGAATACATTAGTACAGGGACCAGGTGCATTTACACTTATCATAAATCTTAATGATTTACATTGCTGCAAAATGTTTGTATCTATTTTATTTCAGTCTGAAAACTATGTAAATAATGGCTGAGTATCAAAGTTCAAACATACATCTAACTTTCTTGTCACCTCATGTAAGACATTTATTGGTGGAAATAGGGGATGAAATCCAGAATAGCTCAGACATTTATATGTCCAACTCATATCTTACTTCAAATAATACACTTAATTGGAAAGAAATCGATATTTTATTTGGAAATTTGCCTGGTAAGTGAATTATTGTGACTTCTAGTATAATGAATATGTGCCACTTTTATTCAACTGTACTACTGCAGTCCTAATACCATATGAATGTGTGTCCACGAACATGAAATGGCATGACATCTGTTTGTTTCTGTAAATGTAATTGTCATTGTGTATGTGTATGTACGAGGGGGTACCCAAAAGAAACCGAACTTATTTTTTTTTAAACTTATTTATTCAAATTTTAAGCACAAACCTTCAATCCCTTCAAAGTACTCTCCACTTACACTAATACACATGTCTAGTCTTTTATTCCATTTTTCAAAACATTGTCTAAATTCATCTTTTGAGATGCTTGACAGCGCCTCCGTTGTTTTTTCCTTCACCTCAGCAACATCAGCAAAACGCTTTCCTTTCATGTCTCTTTTCATTCGAGGAAACAAAAAAAAAGTTTTGATCATTTTGGGACTCTTCTTTCAAAGGACAGCATGCTTCCACGTGACCTTGTTTTTGTTCAGCAGTCAGCAGTCGTGGCACGAATTTCGCAGCCACCCTTTTCATTCCCAAATCTTCTGTCAGAATTCGCTGAACTGAGCTCCAAGTCACTCCCGACAGCTCCACAATTTCTTCAATGGTTCGTCGTCGATCTTCCTTGATGATTTCACGAATTTTTTCAACATTTTCATGTGTTCGGGCTGTGGAAGGATGACCAGAACGAGGTTTGTTATCAATTGACATTTCACCATTTTTGAAACGGGAAAACCACTCAAACACTTGGGGTTTCCCCATAGCATCATCCTTGTACGCCGTTTTTAACATTTCAAGAGTTTCTGTTCCACTTCTCCTGAGCAAAAAGCAGAATTTCACCGCCGCACGCTGTTCACGAAAATCAGCCATTGCAAAAACGACGATCACACAAAACAGTTGTCACTATAAACTCTGCCGAAACTAGTCCTTACCTTCTGAAGCAATGGTAGTCGGCTTATCGACTCAGAAATGTTAGCTCTATGCGCTCATAGCCGCAAAACACGGTACTACAAAAGCTCTGCCCACAAAAAAATGAGTTCGGTTTCTTTTGGGTACCCCATCGTATGTGCATGTGCATATTAGAGAAATCAAATTTTCTCTGTGTGAAAGTTTGTATGGAATGTAAATGTGCTGTTAACAAAGGGACATAACTCTGTGCAGGGAAGCCCTTCATGGGAAAGTGATAGTCACCCAGCCAGTCAAGAAATTACCTTTCTTTTATGGAATATTCATTACATGTTCATAAAAGCCTCCCACTGGATCCTATTGTGAGCCAGATAAATCCAGTCCACACTTTCACACCCTCCTTACTTAACACATTGGTGACTGGCCATACTGCTCAGCTACACCCACCTGCTTTTATAAACACATTTATATAGATATAGTAGAAGTGGAAAGTGAGAGTGAGAATACTACATGCACATCTGCAAGGCTTGCATTCTGTCTTCAAGAACTACATATAGATGGCATCAGGTAATGGAAAGTTGATATGGGCACCAAAATGAGAATACTTGGACCCTACACCTGCCAATAGCCAGCAGAAATATGGGGATTTTCATGAACTGTTATCAGTGTGTTAAGATCCATCTTAATGTTAACCTCCCATCTATGCATGTCATGTAAGTGGTTTAAGTATACAAAGAAAAACCTGCCCTTTACCAGTTTCTATACTAGAAATCCTGCTTGAACTGTACTGGTATGGAATCTGAGCTTTCACAGTAAAAAACTGACATCTAAAAACCTGAGCTACGACATTGACTGGATTTTCATTTTTATATGGCAGAATTGTGTCTATAGAGCTTCATCTTTAAAACTCTTTGTGTATTTGCATAATTTTAACTATAGTATATTTTTATTTGGGTTTTACTGCATGTGACAGTGTTGAATAGCTTTCAGTATTTATCATATGTTACAACTGTCAACACAACAAATAAAGTGGGAATATCTTCAATGAAGACAATAATGAGAGGTGCCTGATGAGGTGCCTAAATTATAGGTTGAAACATGTAGCCCAGTTTACGCTTACATTAAATAGTAAGATATATACCAACATCTGTTGTCTTCATTGAAGGTATGATATGATAAATATTATATACACAACAGAATGCAATCTATAAAGTTTTTTAAATAGTGCTCAAATTACAGTCCCTATCATATATGTTTTCTGAACGCAATACAATTTTCAGATTATGGAGATGAAATGAAAGTTCTTGGTTTTCAGAGTGTTTTAATATTCACAATCAGCCACGTGAATGGTTTGATAGAGTACTTCACAATCTATGGCCTGTATTTATTGAAGCCCACAGAAGCATTATAAATTGTGAACTTCAGCAATTAGAACAACTGTGGAAACTGTCACAGTGGACCAGGAAGGAAAATGAAATCCAGGAATGTTACAGACAGTTTAGTAATTATTCTCTAACTTCAGCTGTCGAAGTTGTTTTACTTCTTACTGCCATACTTGAGCGATCATTAGGAAATGTAAGTACTGTAAAAACAATAATTTCACTTACATAGTGTCTTAATTTAAGATTACTTGATGTATTGAGTTTTCCCTTTTAAAACTCAAAAAGTTTTAGCCTCACCCAAATTCTCTTATTTAGTTTCCATTGTTCTTAAAAAAGACTTTAAATAAAGGTATCCTTCTAGTTGGACATCTGAAGCTTCATATCCCTTTCGAACACACTGATGTGTACAATAAGTAAGTATTAAATGATAAGGAACACATTCTATGAATAATGGCTTTGCAAATATGACAATGTGTTCTTGTATTAAAAGCCTGTAATATAGTAACTATGGGTGTGTGAACAACAACATTTTTAAACTCAGAAATGTTGAACTGCAGACTGAATTTGAACATCAGACTTTTTAGTTATGTTTATTTGCTGAGCCTAAAATGTATATTGGTTCAGGTGCATTTTGTGTTATTGTCTATGTTACATGTTTTGATATTGGGAACTATGAATAAAATCTTAATTTATCAGAACTTACATAGAACATTTAATATTTTCCAGTGGTAATTCAAATATTTAATAAAATATAAATTGAAGTTGGTCAGTAACTTTTCATCTCTCTCATCAGCTCTAACTTCTAAGAATATTTCTTTATCTAAAATTAAGTTCATACTTAATTCAAACTGAGTATACATTAATTCTGTGAAGAGTAACAAATTTTTAATTAAATCGCAATACTCATGCACTACAGAATGTTTGTTACATGTTAACACATATTTCATTCTTTTTCCACAAAGTCATGTAGGCCCACTGGAGACGTGTCTCACGTTTAGTTTCTCATGAGTTTTTTAATGTGAGTCTGCAGTTTCTGTAGACATCTTATGGTCTTCTTTTCTGCAAAGAGCCTAGTGGTTTTGCAAAATAACTTCTGAAGCTGCTTTTGTATGAATGGGGGAGTTGTTCTATATAGTATGTTTTCATCATTTAAGAAATGTGTTTTGTGAGCAATATTTACCAACTCTCTGACAAAATTATGTCTTCTGAATAATTATTATTATAGGTTTTCCTCTTGAGAGGTCAGAACGTTCCATTCTTGCTCAGAGATCTCCTGTCAACTGAGGAGTTGGTTTCTCTCCTGGGAATTGTTCCTGTAAGTAATCAGTAAAGTGTATCGCTTTCTTTTAAATGCAGATTTTTACAGGTAAAGTTCAGGATAATTTATTTTAGTTAAAATAACCTGCTTTGAGATATTTTAATAATTCATACCTGGTGAACTAAGAAATATTTTACCATGAGAGTGATGATATGTGTACTGTCATCAAAAAATTAAATCAAAAGTAATATAATTCTTAATAAGTGAATTTATGAGACCTATTTAGTCTTGAGTCCAGAATATCAAAAGGTGGCTACAGGTCAGTATGATAGGAATTCTAGTGCACATATCTTGCATATTCATATGTAGTGTTTAAGTGCCAAAGTATGATTTCCTGTGCAATGGCCCAGTGCCCCATGTTACTCAGAATTCCTACAAGGTGTATGAGTACGTTTTATAACAAAACTGATGAATCATGTCATGTCAAGTAATCCTCATAAAATGGTTGAACATTTCTTAAAATTCCTACACAGTGTCTAAGAGCCATTGGATATCATTGAATTTGTACATGGTGATTAAGCTGGCTGTGAAATAAATATGAGAATATTTGTACATTGCATTTTGTGTTAATTGGATTACATTTGAATGGGGGAATGCTTGCCAGTTCAGATTTTGTCAACTGAACCCCCCCCCCTTTTTTTTTCCAGATTGCATTTATGCAAGTTCTGTTGGGAACACCATTAGCACTGAATCTTCGAAATGTAACATGGCATGGATTTCCATGTTCTAATGAAATAAGGCCTGAACTTGGTGCTACACTTTTTTTGGTCATTGCTTCAATTGGAGAGATACTAGCAACAAACAACTTCACTTTGAATTCCTTGCCATGTCGACCTCAAGTTTCTACCCTGATGTACCATTCAAATTTGTTAGACGGATGTTTCCCAGACTTGCTGAAACATGACACAGAAACAAGGAACATATTACTTAATTCATCTCATATACCTCGTTCTCATGTTTTGTACTGGAATGCCATATTGGAGCATTATTTGCAGTCAAGGTAATAGTATCAAACCATCTTAATTACTAAAGATGTCTCCCTTCTGGGATATAACACCATGCAGTCCACTGAAAGTCAACTTATATTTTGGAGAAACGTGTTGTCTGCATATTCAGATTTGAAGAGAAAGCCAAGCAAGAAACCAGCATGAAGCTGGCAGCAAGTAGAATCTTGCTTGGCTTTCTGTTCATCCCTGATGACAGAAGCAATACATTCCTCCAAAACATCAGTTGTCTTTTACCAGACTGCATAGCATTACATCCCAGAAGTTACCACCGTTAGAACCTCAAATCCAACTTCTGAGTTATTTTTTGTGTGGGAAGCTATTGTTACTGTAATGTGACTTCATTGCTTAATGGGTTTACTATCATCACAGTTTCCATGTATGTTTCCTGTATGTTCTGTTCCTTAGTAACACTGATTTTATACAAAATAGTGTATCACTATAGCTGTACAATATGCAGTAACTATACAGCATATGGAAACATTAAGGAACTACTGTAATTAATGTTACAGGGCACTATTAGAAGAAATTATATGAGGTCATAATGATTTAATTCTGTTCAGTTAATAGATTATTTAGCATTGAAACCGGATTTAGGTGTAATGGAAAACATGTGGTATTTTAAATACTATATTGTTTTCAATCAAGATGCAAGGTCTTCTATAAAATTCATTTATCTCATGAAGTAAATGTTCAGTAGAACTTGGTTCACTACTAATGCAAATTGTGGACTGAAGTGCAAAACTTATTTTCTATGCATAGAATCACTTACTGCAGAGATTGGTTTGGTGGTTCATGGGTCTGTTAGGCAGGGGCTAAAAGAATAGATTTTTACATACATCAGCATTTCAGAGTATTCACAAGTGTGCAACTGGCACTGAATATAAAACTTGTCCAACAACACTCACAAGACAATCACAGATAAAATCGCAGAAACATCAGTTCAACCATAGTTAAAATCTAAACTGAATACCTCAAATAAATAGATACAATGTTACACATACAATTATACCAACAAGATAATTAGCAATACACAATAATTCTCCTTCCTTAACTTACAGTTACACTTAATGTCTATATTGATGCCTACTGAGGGACATCCATCAGTCAGCATGCACTCCCCTTCTATTCCTTAGCTGTTGATCCTGACAGAAGAGCAAAAATTCATCAACAGTATATGATGCATTATATATTAGGACATCTCTTATTTCTTTTATAAACTGTTTTTTATCATGTACTAAGTTAGATAAATATCCGGGCAGACTGTTAAATATTTTTATACTCATGCAATGGACCCCTTTCTGCCTCATTGCGAGATGTGATTGTAGGACATGTAAATTTCTTACGTGTCTTGTCGGTCTCTCATAAATTGAATAATTAAAAGTAAAATACTCCAAGTTAAAACCATAAAAGTCATCAGAGATAAAATATATTGAGACACCAGTGTTAATATATTTAACTTTATAAATGCTGGCCTACATGACTCTTTATGTTTCATCCAAATTTTTATTCTAATAGTCTTCTTTTGTAAGAGAAAGATCTTCTTGGCCTCTGACAAATTACCCCAAAAAACTATTCCATATCTCATGAGTGAACGGAAGTATGCATGATATATCATTTTAAGTGTTGTAACATTACTGTATGGTTTCATAATTCGTATTGCATAACATGCCTTTCCCAATCTGGGTAACAATGATTCAACCTGTGTCTTCCAATTCAAGCACTTATCAATTTCAATGCCCAAAAATTTAATATGAGTTTCCTCTTGTAATAATTCATTGTTAAACTTTAAATGTACAGGCATATTGTCACGATTGATTGTTTCAAATTTTAACACTTTAGTTTTCCTCAAGTTTAGGGATAAGCCATTGTATTTAAACCACTGAGTTAAGGAATTTAACGTACGTTTAGACCTTTCTTGAATTTCATACCTGACACTAATATAGTTGTATCATCGGCATACAACAATGACTTATTGTCAGTACTTAATGCTGATGGCAGGTCATTAATATATAAAAGGAACAACAAAGGACCCAAAATCGAGCCCTGTGGCACTCCATATTTGACAGTTCCCCAGTCTGAACAGCATTTACCATTTTCATTATTATAGAGTTCAACTCTCTGTCTTCTATTTTCCAGATAGGACTTCAACCATATTTTTATTTTACCACCAATGCCGTATGTTGCTAATTTACTCAAAAGAATATCATGACTCACACAGTCAAATGCTTTTGTCAAATCACAAAAAATTCCCAATGAATGATTGCGTCTTTCCAACGTCTATAAATATGATTAGTCAATGTATATATTGCCATTTCTGTGTTACTGCCTTCTCTAAATCCAAACTGTGCAAAAGACATTAAATTGTTTGTATATATGTGTTGCTTTATCCTATTGTACACCACTCTTTCAAAAATCTTAGAAAAACTTATTAGCAATGATATTGGTCTATAGTTTGCTGTAATTGCCTTCTCACCTGTTTTATATATAGGTCTTAATGAGGCAAATTTCATTCTATCAGGATATATTCCATGCTCAAAAGATGCATTAAATATGTGACACAATGGTTTACTTATCTCAGTTATACAGTATTTCAATATCATACTAGAAATGCCATCATATCCTGTAGAATCTTTTGATTTTTGCAACATAAGTATGCTCTTTATTTCCACCTCTGTTGTAGGTATTAGCCTCAGTTCAGGGAATTTATCAAATTTCAAAGTGTCTAAGAATTTAATAGCTTCATTTTTATTGGCACTTTTCGTTTCCAGATTCTCAGCTACAGTTATAAAGTATTTATTGAATACTTCTACTGCTTCCTTAGTATTAGTTACTTTGCTATTCCCCACTTTCAATTCGGTTATATTATCTGGGCCCCTCCATTTCCCAGTTTCTCTCTTAATAATCTTCCAGGTTAATTGTATTTTGTTTTCTGAGTTACTTATAAGTTTTTGATAGTACAGTTTCATAGTTTCTTTTATTACTTTCGTTAATGTCATATTTATAGTATGATTCCAATCTTTCATCCTTTGATTTTTAACTAAGTTGTATAAAGCTCTTTTATGATTGCAAGATGTTCGTATACCTTTGGTTATCCATTTATTGGTGTCTTTCCTTTTTTTATACACCAGGGGAAAGCTGTTTTTTTGTAAAACTGTTAAGAAGGTATTATGAAATTTATTAAATTTCATATTAACGTTCTCTTGATCATAAACTTCTTCCCAATTTTCATTTTGTAATGCCCGTTGGAAATGTGCTATGTACTCATCATTGATATCCCTAAATGCTCTTACATTGTCCATTTTCTTTATATCCTGTAAATTTTCAAGTACTAAGATTTGTCCATCATGGTCTGAAAACCCGTTTATTGTGGAATGGGTTTGAAATTTATTGAGGACATTCTTATCTAAGAAGAAATGATCTGTAAGTGTGACAGAAGTGGGACCTATTCTGTTCGGACAGTCAATTATTTGAGCTGGATTATAAGTATCTAATAAGGATTGTAACTGTATTTTTTTATGGTTTTCATTAAGGTAATTTATATTTGTATCACCAAAAATTATCAGTTCCAATTTAAGGCTTACTAAATATGAAAGTGTAGCATCCAGCTGCTCAATAAATTGGCTGATGACCCCATCTGGTACTCTGTAGACAAATAAAATACATAATTTCTTATTATACTTTTAATTATCTTCACCGCACAGGCTTCGAAAACCTTCTCCCTACTTAACTTATTGAGATCTGTCTTTTGATATGTTATATTATTCTTAACTAATACACAAACTCCTCCATTCTTAGACATATTACATGAAAAACCTGTTGCCATTTTATATTTTGTCATGAAGAACATGGATAGTTCATCTGCACTCAATGATGCTCACTGATACATAAAATATCAGGATTATTATATACATCATTTAAAAAAACAGCTAATTTTTGTTTTTTATTTCTAATACTTCTTATATTTTGATGATATATGACTAGAGAATTCTGCTGACTGTTGTTTCCATTTTGAGTTATTCCCATAAAATATCCTCACTTCTCATATTTGGGATCTTCCCACGTCTTCTAGGGGGAATAGTTTGCGACACTACACTAGCTATTCTCTGATCCTCAATTAAAGTTAACTATGTTATGAGGAAGTGAGTATGCAACTTACATTCCTATATGTGCAACACAAATTGTTACTAATAACAGTGAAAGCAAGGGGATAAAACTTAGAATTTATAATGTACACTGCAGTGGGGCTTGATTTATTTGTCTTGTCTCAACAGTATATGAAGTATGAAACCTAAAGGTCATATACAAAAGACAGCAGAAAATACAATGAATACAGTAAATTCCCAGTTTTATGGTATCCAAACATCTGGAATTGATTGATTGATTGATTGATTTAACATCCATAACTGTTACATTATGTACAATTGGACAAGTCAGTTTTATAAAAAAATATATGAGATTAAACATCACATCAAATGACTAATAATATAAAAAACCATAGAAAAATAACATAATAAATCCATTAAATATGATAAAACAGTGGATGAGTATAATAAGGCAACAAAAGCTAAACTATAAATTACATGCAATATCTAAAATAAATTACCTAAGTATCTTTGTTCTATTATTAAGCTAATTCTTGTAAAAATATTCTTGAAGGGAATAAAAAGCTTTGCACAACAAGTAATCCTTTAATTGACGCTTAAAAACCTTGAACTCTTGAATACTTCTTATTTGAGAGGGCAAGTTATTATACAATCTTATTCCCATGTTAATCACACTCCTTTTACAACGTGAGGTGTTACATGGTTGGACATATAAATTCTGCTTATATACTGTGTTATAACCGTGCACATCTGAATACGAGATGTTATATATCCTATTTTTCCTTAAAAAACACAACGTCTCAAAGATATACAATGAAGTTAAGGTTAAAATTTTAAATTCACCAAAAAATTCTCTACACGATATCCTGTTATTGACTCTTTTGATCAGTCTTAAACATTTTTTTTGGATTTTAAATACAGTTTGAATGTCCTTTTGACCACAGCCCCAAAAAATAATACCATATCTCAATAAAGATTCAAATTTCGCAAAATACACACTTCTCAAAATTGGAAGACTGACCAAATCTCGTAAGGATTTGATAAGATAGATGGTTTTGTTTAATTTTTGAACTAAATGGTGAGTGTGAGAGGACCAACTTAAATTCTCTGTAATATATATACCTAAAAATTTTAAATTAGCTGTGTATGTTATTTTCTTATTATTCAAATAAAGTTCCGGTTTATCAATTTGACGGGGACCACGTCCCTGAAAAAAGAGTGCTTTTGTCTTTTCAATATTAATAATAAGATGATTTACCGCGAACCAATTTTCTAATTGATGCATAGAAACTATAGTTTTATCATTTAAAGATTTAAGATTTTTGTCAATAATTAGTATATTGGTGTCATCTGCAAATAAAACAACTTTCGCTTCATGAACAGCTTTAGGCAAATCGTTTATAAACATTAAAAACAAAAGAGGTCCCAGAACCGAACCCTGAGGAACACCGTACTTTATTTCCTTACACGAAGAGGAGAATGATTTTTGATTTGGAGACTTGGCATCAACATGGTCAATTTCTACAAACTGGGATCTACCCGTAAGATATGATCTCATCAAAGAGAGTGAAATTCCTCTAAACCCATAAAGTTCCAATTTAGCCAACAGTAATTTGTGGTTTATCACATCGAAAGCCTTGGAAAGATCCAAAAAAATACCCAAAGCAAAAAACTTATTGTCTAATGCTTTCTGAACATCCTCAATAAATGATTGCAGTGCTGTATGAGTTGATTTATTTTGTCTAAAGCCATTTTGGGCATCAGATATCAAATTATGTTTATTTAAGAAATTCACTACTCTGTTATATATTAATGTTTCAAAGATTTTAGAAAAAACAGGTAATAGTGAAATAGGTCTATAATTAGATAATTCTTGAATTCGTCCTCTCTTATGAATAGGGCGAACTTTGGCAATCTTCATCTGATCAGGAAAAATTCCAGTACAAAGAGACAAATTAAAAATAAATGTTAAAGGTTTACAAATAGGTTGAATACTAAATTTTACTAACTTTTCTGGGATTTCGTCATAGCCCGCGGAGAGTTTACCTTTTAGTTTACTACTCACACTAAGTACCTCATTTTCTGTAATTGGTACGAAAAAAATCGATTTAGAAAATGGAGTAACTTTACATGCTTGGTCATACTTAGGTTTTTGATCATTTAATTGGTTTACCATTTTTCCTGCAATTTCAACAAAAAAAGAATTAAAATGACCGGGAGTGAGGAGGGGGTCTAAGTCAGTCATGGAGTCCACATCCGAGGTTTTATAATTTATTTTAAAAGCTTTCCCTGATTCAAAGTTTATAATTTGCCATAACGCTTTAGAGCGGTTTGTTGATTTTTGGATGAATCTGTCGTTTTCTTTTTTACGAGCATCTGCTAACACGTTCTTATAAATTTTTTGATACTTTTTTATATAGTTCAAAGAATGCCTAGGAAGAATCAACTTTTTCTTTAAGTAACATAGAAATTGAAGCCGCTGTCTAGAAACTTTTATCCCTTTAGTAATCCATCTGGATTTGATGTTTTTTACATTTACAACTTTTTTTATATGAAACATGTTCAGGAAAAGGTCCCGATACTTGTCTAAAAAAAGACTATAAGCTTTGTTTACATCAGTTTGGTGATAAACCTCGTCCCAGACTTCCCTTGTTAACCTCAAGTTAAATAAGTCGATATTTCTTTTAGAGAAAACTCTTCTTTTGGTTTTTTCAGAGAAAGGAACATGAGAATTTTCTACAACTATGTTCATAACTAGCGCAAAATGATCCGAGTAGCCCATTTCGACAACATTTGTTGAAGTAGGATAAAATACTTTATTTCTAATCATTACATCAATTAGAGAACACGAGTTAGATGAAACTCTCGTAGGAGATTGAACCGTATTTAATAAGTTATTTGAGAGCAACAGATTTAATAGAGTCTTTTGAAGTGAATTCTTTTGGAGTAAGTTTATATTCCAGTCCCCACATATTACTAACAAGCAACCTTTGTTTAGTACCCTATTTATAGCCTCATCTATTTGATTGAAGAACATTTTTACGTCACTATTTGGAGATCTGTATACACAGATTACAATGATTTTAAATTTCACTATTTCAATAGCTGATATTTCCAGTGTTTTTTCTCTACCAAAGTTTTTTAATGGAGAAACCTCTCTGATCTTAATTGATTTGGAAACAAATATACAAGAACCACCATGCTTATCATTTATTCTACAAAAACTATCCGCAAGTTTATATTGATCAATATTTAGATGCAAGATTTGATCACTTAAAAGCCAGTGCTCCGAAAAGCATAAAATATCTGGCTTTTTGGGCCATTGCGAGAGCAGTGCATTTAATTCTAGTAATTTGTTGCTCAGACTTTGTACATTGTGATGAAGAATACTCAAATCCTGAGTTAAATTTGAACTTTCTTTAGGGGGATGGAAAGTTGACTTAAATGGATGATCTACCATAAAAAATCTTTATGTCATCCAACTGACAAAAATTTGCTATTTTTGGGTAGATATTTAAAAACAAAGCTGTGCATGCAATAGTTAACCCAGCTGCCACTAACAGTGCTACCTACCAGTCTCCCTCATGCAGGTGCTATATCAGTAGAGGCTAGTTGAATTTGTGATCACATTACAATATACAGTATGTCTCCCATATCTTCTACCCATGGATCTGCTACATTGCATAGGAAAACTCCCATGCAAGAACCAAAGTGAAAACGTGGGTTTCTGTCAGAATTTTTCCCATGTAACTGGCACACTCCATTTCCCGTGCATGCTTAATAATGGGGGAGTTTACTAAACTCTTAAAATCTGTATTCCCTGAGGCCTTCATACAAAAATTTCATAGAAGTGAAAGAGTTATCAACATTTTCTGAATGGGTATTAAGCCTCCCTGTGCTTTACCACATTATTACACAGTTTCATTAAAAGAATCTGTTGTTAGTCCACTGCTTTCAGATAACGTATCCATACTAGCTCCTAACTTGTAGGTTGAACAATTACATCTCATGTATTATGAATTTACATGTATGTTCTCATTTCGAAAGCAGATAATATTACAGTAATTCTGTATTAGCGCCTTTTTAAAAGTTCAATAAAAATATCTGCATGAATCATACTGCAAAACTGAGGATGAACAGATTTGGTTAAGTAGCTAGGAGATACAATTTATATTTCTGGAGTGCTGGACTGTACAACAAACACTGTTGACCCTCGTAATGATATGTTCTTCTAGGTATGGTCAATGTCTGATGCTGCTCCTACCCCAAATGGAGCAGGTGCTTCGAAGCATTTTTTGCTGGGCAAATGGCTGTCCGGAGAGGGTGCTCACAGCTGAATCAACTTCATTTTACACAACACTTGAAGAAATATTGGCAGAGAATATAACTGACATGAAAACTAATAAAGTGAGGGCAGTTCTAGGTGACTGTCTTATTGAAATGTTGCAGGACATTTTTGTGCATCAGAAAGGACCAAGAATAAGAGACAAGTTTAGCCATGGTGAATGTGACTTGTGTGACATACCAAAGAATCTCGCAAATCATATTATATGCGTAGCATTGGCTGTAATTATAAAAGCAAGAAAGGAAGAGAAAAGTGTGAAGAGCAATTCCAGTCTTTGTGGTACTCCCCAACTTCTGACAAATGACATGAATATATGCCCATCTCATCATTGTTCAGTTAAACTAGAGAATAAGATAAGAGAAGCAAGCAAGAACTATGTTTCTAAATTCCACCTCAGCTCCTTGCTTAAAATCAGTGTTACTGAAGTTGCTCATAAATTAATGGAATGGGAAACATACCCAAAACCTGAATCAGTGGAAGAACTGAGATGTAAGAAGTGGGAAGAAGTAATTCAAGAAGATGGGGCACAATTACTGCAGTTAAAACATGATCTGTGGAATTCAGTGTCAGGAATAATTTCATTGAATAACCATGATCATGAAAATAATTTTAGTGATATAGTTGGTTTTATAACAGAATATAAGATTTTGACTGTGTTCAGGTCTAAGACTGAGACAGACATATTGAACTTGTTGAAACAGATTACTGACAATATTCAGTTAATATGCAAGCAACTTGAAGAAGGCCTGAAAGCTAAATACCAGCTTCTCTGTTCTCGTATGTTACGATCCAGACAAAGAGAAACTTACTGTCGCATGTTGAATACAGTTCCATGTTTACATACTGCTGTTCAATGTGTGGTGCTTATAGTTGCTATCAACTTGCTGCACATTAACAGTGTACCTATTACATCAAGACAGGAATATCAGCATATATACAGGTACAAAATATAAATATTCAATTCATTTATTATATAGGAACAATGGTAAAATATAAGTAGCAAGTAATTATTTTTATGGAAAGAAAGTCAGCAGAATTATGGATATAAATCATTGGTAGTGAATATTACTGCATTGCTAGCCACTCTGTATTCTTATAGTTACAGGATGCAGAAAAATTAAAAGTAGATTTAACACAGAATCATTAATACAGTATGCATCAGTGCTTAATAGGTGTACAATTAAAAATGGTATGGGCTACTTGCAATAGAAATCTTTGAAAGCATATCTCCAGTGGGAACAGGATTTTAAACATCCAGATTACTTTTATGTTGACTGAAAGTCCCACTGACATATCTTTATTACATACACGTATATACATTTTAAATCTGTGAGAGCATACTTACCAAGTGTCATTTTTATATTTGCTTTTCAGATTCTTGAAAAAAGTTCTGCAGCATGTACAGAATCTGACAACTTATACAAGTGTGGAAAGGAATCGTTGGGATGAAGCAATGGCTTTAACATCATGCTTCTCTCAGCACTTGCATGATGCTTTGAAGCAAAATTTTATATTATAGGATACTCAAAATCCCACTACAGGAACTCTCAAAGACTGCCTACATAGATGGATCATTATATAAATAATTATATGTATAACAATTTTTTTAAACTGGTGTGACTCGTGGTAGTATTATTCTTATCATCTTTATAAGAATACACATTATGCTACTAAAATAGTGTAGGTATGTCATTTTGATTACTTTGACATTATATGTTTTGTTCTTTAAACCTTTGTGGTCCAGTTCTTGAGAAATAATATCACTAAACAGCAAAGAGTTCCTGAAATAAATGGAACAGAAATGATTTGTTTAGTAAGATTTATTTTCTCCACAACACATTTAAAGTCAAATAAAATTCAAATTCTTCACACGGTAGATGCATATTTCAATTTCCTATTTTAGTAATTGTATGATATATATCCTTTTTTAAACACATCCAGATGTACCTATAATTTACAAAGTTTATAATATATGCAAGATTTCTACCAGATACATTAAATTAACCACTTTCAAGAACATCTATAGTAATTCTTTGGCAGTAACAGCGTACTTCAGTTTTACACCAACCCAGCAAGAAACTATAAAACTGTGGTACTACCATTACATTTCAGAATGCAATATGTAAGGCCCTTCATCCACCGCCGCAATGCAACCACAACTTGGCTACAACTCAACCAAAATGAAATCAAACTAAACTCGAACACAATCTTGGCTTCGTCCACCAATGTAACTCTTTTCCAACAGTTTAACTCGCAATGTCGAGTAGTTCAGGTGAAAGTGTTGTGCTCGCATATTGGTACATAAAAATGTTCACAAAAAGAAACGCAAATGGTGGACTCATCCTTACATAACTAAGAACACCAACAGGCGGGCGTTCATAACGGCACAAGAATTAAAAAAAGACGAGAAGAAATTTCAATCTTATTACAGAATGTCTAGACATCTGTTTGTAGAGTTAGTGAAAACTGTTCAACCTTACATACAAAGAAAGGACACAAACTATAGGAAAAGCATAAGTGTTGAAGAAAGACTGCTAATTACACTAAGGTAAGTTTAATTACAGTATTTAAGTACAATACAAAATTGTTTTATTACAAACACAATACACACAAAATTATTACATATGCCACCATTGGGAGGCATTGGGCCAGTTTTTATGACCCACCCCTTACATACATACAACTTCTTGGTTTCAGGTATCTGGCCACTGGATGTTCCTTTACCGCCATCTCATTTTATTCTGCTCATGGAAACAATACGATTGGAAGAATAATTTCTGAAACCACTGTCGCAATATGGAACTGGCTGCATGATACGTACATGTAAATCCCTGATAAAAATGGATGAAAGGAAATATCCAGTTGATTCCAAGAGCTATGGAATATTCCAAATTGCATTGGAGCGATTGATGGAAAACATATACACATACAAAAGTTGCCTGGAAGTGGTTCAAAAAATTTCAATTACAAAGCCTTTCATTCTGTAGTCCTGATGGTGTGTGCTGATGCTGATGGCATCTTTATGATAGAAACTGAGTATGCTGGGAGAAACAGTGATGGAGGAATTTTCAAAACTGCAAGAATGAATAATTGGCTTCAGAAAGATGAACTAAATTTACTTGATCCTGAAACATTGCCATTTGATGACAGTGAAGTGAAATTTCCATACTATTTCGTTGCTGACAAAGCATTTTCACTTCTAAGATATCTAATGAGACCATATCCAACGAGAAGATTAAATAATTTGGCTAGACTATTTAATTATCGATTGAGGAGGGCCCGTAAAAATGTTGTGTGCATTTGGTATGATATCTCAAAAACTTCAGGTTTTACTGTCTGCTATACATTGTAAAAATGTAATGTCTGTTAATAACATAATTCGTGCTGTCCACATTCTGCACAATTTTATTCAGAAAAGGGAAGGTAAACCCTACTTCACTCATTATAATGATGAAAAACAGAATTCCAATGAACTGCCTTTCATTGATGTACCGGTAGAGAATGTAACAATAGATGAAAGATCAAATTCTCAACAGTTAAGGGATTATTTATCATATTATTTCCTTGGTCCACAAGCAGCTGTACATTGGCAATGGCAATATTGTATAAATGAATAAATTTTCTGTATTGTATGAAATACTTATTTTAATACAATAGAATAAAACCATTTGAAAGAAAACTTCCCTTCTTCATTTACTTCTTTCCCTATTTCCACCCAAGCTTTATAAACTACAGTTTTCCTTGAATAATCAGATAATTTATAGTTTTATAGACAAGGATATTTTTCCACAGCCTGCACAAGTTTAATACAAATCTTGCTTTGACATCGTGTGTTGCTTGACAGTTACATTCAAACTGGCACATTCAGTTGCATAGCAACTCCTTTCCGATTGGTTATCTTCAGGTCGGGTTACAGTTTCATTGGTGGGAGAGAGAAGGAACCGGTAACGTAGAAGTACCAGCCTCACGAGGAAGAGTGCATGTGCAACAAATGAATCTGATGCAACTGGTTCTTCTAGGGAAGTTAAAAGGAAACCGCTCAAGACGAGCTGGTCTTAAGAGGGAAGCGGTTGTAACGGGCGGAGATAGTCGCTGCAAGGAGTAGCCGAAACAACTGGAGACAAAGAAAGCACATCCTTGGAAGAAAAGGAACAGGGGTACACCGTTAGGCTATTCGGGACGAACAGCCTTAAGGAGGGAGCAGTGTGACATGTTGCGCAACGGAAGACCCCTCCCTCTCCAGTGGTACGTGGCGGCATCGTAGTGCTGTCGTTACTATGGTAATAGGCAAGTCAGCACCCCGCCCTCTCCCCGCAGTGACGTAACACGCAACGCAGCTGTGACACGGGTAACAGGCAACAGTGGTACCCATTGCGTAACGGGCGGGCACTGCGACTTTATAAGAGCACTACACTGCCTACAGAGTCAGTTAAAGCGTATCAGCGGCCGAAGACAGTTCTCCAGTCAGCAGTGAACAAGTTAAAAGTGTATCAGCCGCCGAGGTGAGTTCTCCAGTCAGCAGTGAATGAGCTTAGTTGGAATCTAGCCAGCAGCGAGCCGTTAGGGTTAAGTTGGAATACAGCAGCCATTGCGGAAAGAAGAACCGGACGTGTGTGTAATCGTGTAATTGGGAGTGTGATACAGGGACAATTACATGGCTCCCGTGCTGTGAATATGTCTATAGACTACTGAAGCTAGAGTGAAGAGATTATTGCGAATAGGGTTATAAAGTGTGAAACCCCGCAACATTGTTGTAATTAATTGTAACCAATACTGGTAGGTTGTCAAATAAACCAAATTAATCCGAACGGCAGCTTCAGTGTCTAAACATGTTACAATATTATTAACAGGGGTCAGACTATTACACAACTCAAAAACAAGTAATCTGTCGTCATTTTTCAGTCGCGTTGCAATTGCATTGTGGCGGTGGACGAAGAGCCTAAGAGTATTTGTTACTGCTAGCTTCGGTTTAATTCCTCACATTCAATTAATATGTTGTCAAAAGTGCATGATGGTGCACATAACTAGTATGTGTAAACAGTGAAAGCAAATGTACATTTATAATTCCCTTCAAGTTTGGAATTCTCTGGAAATGAAGAAATTATGATCATACAGGAAGTTCTCTTCAGCAAACTGATAAAATAATGAGCAAAATTAAATCACACAGACCATTAATATCAATTTGTAGTTATTTAATTCTTTGAGCAATATGGATGTTTAACAACAGCCATAAGAGACAGTTGATAGCAGAGTATCTGTGCCTGTTAAATTGACCGATAAGTATGATATACATATATATAATAAAGAAAGAAAAACACTTCTTTATTTTTATTTCTTTAAAGAACTCTGTGAGGTCAGTACAGGTGAGGGGAATACCCATTGCTCAGAGATTAGGTAACAACAGTATTCATTTATATTTATTACTGTCCTTGAATATATGCAAAAACAATGCAATATTATTTTGAAAAGGAAATGCCCACTGACTAAAATTCACATTTCTTTTGCTTGATCTAACTTGCTGATTTTACTTCCATAACTACACAGGGCATGCATTCATTATAGTACACCAGACAGCTTTGTTTCAGTCAAAGAGAAATATAACTACAAATCTTAATACATTATTTCGATGTCTATGAGAGTATCACTAGACAAACTCTCTCCACAACTTCAATGGCATGGGTAACAAAGTATGTTTTATATGAGGGGAAATTAATAAATAAGGTGAATTTACATTTTTTACAGACTTCCATTACTATATACCCTCACTGCTGAATGTATAAACATAACAGTAGTCATAATATTATATTTCAGCATCCTGTTGCATTGAGGCATCATTCTTATTATTCAAGTACACTGTCGATAATGAAACAGTGATATAAAAGACACCTAAAATATATATTTTTTCCCTAAAAGTGTAATTTTAATACTTTAAAATGTTATTAAATATCATGAAATGTAATTAAGACATTGTAAGTATATCTTATACACTAAAAGTGACTATCAAAATACTTGAAAATGTCTTTTTGTTTTACATAATGTTCTTCAATTTTGAAACATGTTTCAGCCACACATGGGCCATCATCAGGCAACTTCTAATTTGTGGGGAGACCATGCACTGTCCACTTGTATTTCGTGCTCCCATGCACATTGTTGTTTTGTTGTTGCATGTCATATCTAGAATACTTGGCCATCATATTGCAATGTATAATATGTATTAGTATGATTTTTATCATGTTGTCCTTATGTATGAAATGTTGAAATTTTGCGTACTTACGTATATTTGTATGTTTTTTCCTGTATATGTGTTTTTGGTGCAGTCTTCACGTATAGTAACCCTAGTGTAGTTGTAGATATATAAGCAGGAGCAAGTATTTTAATAGTCACTTTTAGTGTATAAGTAGTGTACTTGCAGTGTCTTAATGACATATTATGATATTTAATAACATTTTAAAGTATTAAAAGTTACACTTTTAGTGAAAAATATATATTTTAGGTGTCTTTTATATCACTGTTGCATTATTGATGGTGTACTTAAATAATAAGAATGATAGTTTATGTACATAGATGAAAATACTGTCACTAACAGTTTTCAAATGACAGCTCCTCCATTCAGACTGCACTGTATTTGAACTGTGAAGTGTTATCAAGCTTTACCATCACAAGGAGTAGAACCAAGTGAAATTTATTGCAGAATATGTGCATAACATCAGGATAGTTGTTTATAATTGAAAAATGTGTGGTGTGAGCTGTTAAAAATGACTGCATAAGTTTAGTGGATGCACATCAACCAAGTAGATGGGTTGAAGCAGCAACACTTGTTACAGTTCAAAGTGCTAATGGACTTATTCAGGAAAACTGACACATCACATAAGATGAAATGTGTGCTGATATGACCTTGCCATGGGACTGCTCACACCATAATGCATGAAACACACATTTTAAGCTATACTTAAATTCACCTTATCTACTGACTTACTCTTGTACATTTCAAAGCTAAATATTTAGAAATGCTTCTTAAAAGGGTGAATCATCAGTTTTTGAGACCAATCAGTCAGACTTCAACCGCTTTGTACTTGGTTCACTGCTTTGTGAGTTTGAGTCCTCTGAGAATCCCAGCTGTGCAGAGAAATCTGTTGGCCCTTGAGAATCACTTACCATAGAGAAACCTGTAAAATCCATCATAAATTTTAAAAAGGCATGGAAACAGTTTAGACTTTTATCCATACCACTAAGGGGGGCACGCATTAGCATAGTTGGTTGAGGCACTACGCTACAAGCCAGAAGGTCGCAGGTTCAAGTCCCAATGAGGCCATTGGATTTTTTTTTTCAATTGACCTAATCCTTCAGCTGCACTATGGCCCTGAGGTCGACTCGGCCTCTAACAGAAATGAGTACCAGGAATATTCTTGGAATATTCTTGGGGGTAAAGGGCGGCCAGTGCGTAGGGCTGACAACCTTGCTGCCATCTATGAGCCGACTGTCTAGAAAATGTGGAACCTCAACATCTCACAACCCTATGGGCCTCCACGGCCTGTTACAGGGATACCTTTACTTTTACTTTTTTATCCATACCACTAAGAACAGAGCTGCAGGCAAATTATTGGAGAACATTACATGGCATTTTGTTTTAATTAACATAGGAGCAATGGAACCTACTGAAATGGTACACCTAGTAGCAACTTAGGAATGAGACATATTTTGAAGACTCTTGTATTTTTTTAGATATCATGAAATTTAATGGCTCTTTCAGTATTGAGACAGTGCAGCATCAGATGACAGGATGACGAATGATTTGGAAAGAAGTGCCCATTGCTTTATTGAGACTAACTCAGCATTTTCCTGAAGGGACGAAGGAAAACTAAAATAGCCTGAGCCAGGATAGCCAGTGTTCCATCTAAGATTCAAACTGTGCACCTCCTGAATACAAGTCTAGAACATTATTTCTAGGACCAACCTGTTCAGTCCCCTACATATCAAGCATATGGTTACTGATGGAGAAAGGAGACCAGACTTAGGTGAGACTCTTTCTCTGTACATTTAAGAATGCATGTATGTGGGAGGAAGGGAAAAAAGGTCCTACATTTTCCCTAGCTGTAACTGCTTATTCTGATAGAATTAGGAAGTGAGATGTGGCAAGGAAGTAGGTTGTTCAAAATATTAAGTTTATAATTTGAATTCTGTTAGACAAGAAGTTTTAAAGGTCAGAATATGAGCCTGCCTTTTATGTTGAACATATTTTGCCAGAATTCTAAGTATCTTTTCTGTGGGGAATGAAGAATAACACTGAAGGTGCATGAAATTTAAGCTCTGAGCAGAATATAGGGACCCAAAAAAGATTAAGGAACAAGTGGATGGGAGAGAAGAGGAACTGGGTAACTTTTCTCTTCACCCAGCCTCAGAGGGCTATTAAGGGAGGACGTACAAAATACAAAATTTTGGCTGAGAGACAAGTACGGCATGAGATTAAAAGTCTTCATGGAAATATGTTGTGTGGATATATGATGGATTTAAATAACTCAGGACAGTGTTCAACAGTAGGCTCCTGCCAGTGATGAAACTTCACCATCTTCTACCTCTCCCTATAAAGAGATACTCTTATTATGTAAGAAAATACTGCTACAGTACAAGAGCAATTAAACACTATTATCAAATGGAAACCATAAACTTACATGTGTTTGAATCCTCAGCAAGACCAAAATTAGAATTAGACGAATCTAAAGTAGCTGCTTTTCTTGCTAATGTGTTCTCCTTGTTGCAGTGGTCTTTGCCCTTTTTCTTCTGAAAAAAGGAACATAAAAACAGACTGTTATATACATGATAGGACACCATAATCTTTACACATTTTATACTTCTACCATTTGCAAATATTGTATGACATACTGGAAGTCCTGCATATGCATGAAAATGCTTCCACTTATAGTAACAACAGATATATTGTTCTTTCTGTATTTCATCTGTATTTATTTATTTATTTTTTTATGAAGCTGTCAGTATTAATTTCATGTGTTGATTCATTCAATGAATACATGATGCTTTATTCTCATTACTTGCAATGAGTTCTGTTTAGGTGGCCTTATACATACAAATTTTAGTAATTGAAGTTGCTTCTGATTCACTTTTCAATATTACTGAAAACTGGAGTCACAAACAAAAGAAGCGAACCTGCTCACTGCTTGAAATTGGGACCCACTTGTAGATTTTCATTGTCGTCTCGCCAATTGTCACCCACTTCTTTTCCCTGAAAAGAACATGAGCCAAGAAAAAAGAACCTATTACAGAAATCAAGTTGTGTATTCACACATGACGAAACCGTTATTTTCTTTTCTGGGGGGGGATATTGATTAACTTCAAAATTGCCGTACATCCTAACATAAAGGCTATAACCTCTTATAAATGTCTTTGTTGTAATGTAATTCCATTTTAATAATCACAACACAATTACGCCAATTTTAGGAGTTACTTCTAGGTTATGTGGTGTATCCATCCATTAAATAACTTACCAATGACGTACTTTGTCAACCACTTGCATTACTCTTTTAATGTCATCTTTGGCTCTACTTCTTGTTTCTGCTCTGACAGATCTAGACATCATTTTGATTACTTCAGCACTTCCACAGACATGGGAACAACACGCCAAACAAAAACGTACCTCTTCTTTTGAACACACAAACCCGGCGAGGTTATCGATTAAAATTATCGATCTATTATCCTGAACTTCTCATATGATTTATCGAAGGGCAATATTAAAATCTCGCCAACATATGCTCGTCAATTTGATTTTAGAATATTATATTTAAGCATCCTGTTGCACTCTACACGATAAATGATACAAACTCCGTCCTAAGTGCAAACAATATATATTTATATGTCTTTGATCTTGTTCTTTCTACACTACATGTTTCAGCCTCTATCGGCCATCATCAGGTGTATACTCTTAACGTTGCTGCCACACTGAACCCAGTCTAAAACTTAACATTTAAAAACACAATGTCACATTCTTCGTATTATCAACATCTACATCGTTGATATGTGTCTGGTATGTAGATTATGTTGCACACGTCAAACCCGATATTCTTGTAGTAGCACTCTAAAAATCTTTAGTTATGATGTTTTAAAACCTTTTAAAATTTTTTTCTCTAAATTTAAAATTTAAAATTTAAAATTCTTAGGGTTACTCGCCCTATGTCTAAGTGCTGGAGCGGCTAGTTCTTGTTTTCACACTGTACAGGTGTTATTTAATGTAGTCTTCTTGTGTGAGTGCCGCTGCTTGTCTGTACTACGTGTGCTGTCTGCTGTATTTGCACTTAGGACGGAGTTTGTATCATTTATCGTGATTTTAGAATATTATATTTAAGCATCCTGTTGCACTCTACACGATAAATGATACAAACTCCGTCCTAAGTGCAAACAATATATATTTATATGTCTTTGATCTTGTTCTTTCTACACTACATGTTTCGGCCTCTATCGGCCATCATCAGGTGTATACTCTTAACGTTGCTGCCACACTGAACCCAGTCTAAAACTTAACATTTAAAAACACAATGTCACATTCTTCGTATTATCAACATCTACATCGTTGATATGTGTCTGGTATGTAGATTATGTTGCACACGTCAAACCCGATATTCTTGTAGTAGCACTCTAAAAATCTTTAGTTATGATGTTTTTAAAATCTTTTAAAATTTTCTCTAAATTTTAAATTTAAAATTTAAAATTCTTAGGGTTACTCGCCCTATGTCTAAGTGCTGGAGCGGCTAGTTCTTGTTTTCACACTGTACAGGTGTTATTTAATGTAGTCTTCTTGTGTGAGTGCCGCTGCTTGTCTGTACTACGTGTGCTGTCTGCTGTATTTGCACTTAGGACGGAGTTTGTATCATTTATCGTGATTTTAGAATATTATATTTAAGCATCCTGTTACACTCACAAAATATATATAAGTCAAACTCCGTCTTAAGTGCAACAATTTAATTGTAGTTCTTTCTTCTTCCCTTCCTCCACACAAGAAGAAAGAACTACAATTAAATTGTTGCACTTAAGACGGAGTTTGACTCATATATATTTATTTTAGAATTCCAGTCTAAAATTTAAATTTCTTTTTTTAAATTAAAATTCAAAATTTAAATTTTTAAATCACAAGGATACCTGCTCTGTGTCTATATGTCCTGCAGCGGCTATTTCTTGTTTCCAGCACCGTTCATGTATCATTCTGTGCAGGCTCCCTGTGTGTGTGTGTCACTGCTCCTCTTTATTATTACCATATTTACGCATGTACAGGCCGCAGCACAATTTTCAGACAGAAATTATAGAAAAAAATAATTTTCTTGGAATATTATTTCAGGAGTATTACACCCTGTATTAGTAATTATGAATATAATTTTTTTTAAATGAAGTGTGATTTCGAATATTTCGAATATAAGCCGCACCCCAGTTTTCCTCTTGAATTTTTGGCAAAAAATGTGCGGCCTATACATGCGTAAATACGGTATCTTATTAAAGATGAGCACAATCTAGATCACCTTTTGTTCGAAAACTATGTAAAAAGAAACCGAGTGCTACGAAGATTTATTCAAAGGGGAGATAGAAAAAAGAACATTTGCCTACAATATTATTTTGAAACCATTTAAAATATTTTTACGTATCGAGATAAACTTGTCGGTCTCTATATTGATATATATGGGGACATATTTAAAAATAATTTTAATATATGATATATTTTCTTCTCTCGTCTTCTATTTACCACTTTGGTTCCTTTAATGCTGATCACAGTGGCCGCGTGGCCTAAGACACGCAAAGTTTCAGCCCGCTCTAACAGTGGGATCATGTGTTCGAATTCCACACGACACATGAATGTCTGCACGCGTTAATTCTGTTTGTGTTGTCCTGTGTAGGTGGCAGCCTTGCGACTATGTTGATCTGAGTCCTACTAACTGTCTGTAAGATCCATTATTCCACATTAATGAATTTTGTGTGAAACAAAAAATGGATTTTTTTCTTGTTATGGAGATTAGGGCAAGAATCCTGAGTACCCCCGTCTGCGGGTCCTTACGTGTAGTGAGAAAGTTACGAATTATCTATTTCTGAAAAGCCAATTAGATCAGGTGACCAAGAGGTCTCTATCAAGAGGACCTGAGTTCGAGCCCTTCACACATTCTTCTGACTTTTCAGATTATACAACACTACAGGTTTCGGCCCCAAACGGCCATCTTCAGGTGTTTTATGTTACAGATATGTTACTAAAGAACTAGTAAAGACAAAACCAACCGCTGTGGAGGAAGCAAACACAAACCAGGAGCATATGGCAGTCAAAAACTGAAAATAGACCACGAACATGAGGGGCGAGCTGCCGAGAAAAACACCTTCATGCATTTACGAAAATGACGACACCCCGGGTGAGGTGAAATAATATGCAAGATAAATTTTAAAGGATTTTATCTCGTTTTACTTAAAAAGAAGACTACAGCGTGTGATTTTAACACGAATTAAAAGGGTGTAGCAGTTTTGAATATAAAAAAACACATGAAGATGGCCGTTTGTGGCCGAAACATGTAGTGTTGAAGTGTGGCATGTAAAAGTGTTGCAATTTTGTCGGAAGATAAACAAATGGACGCTCATTTGTGCGCTATAGTTACAGTAAACTGCAGAACGCTACAATTCAGCAGATAAGGTTTTTATGTGTTTCTCTATGTTCACGCTGTCTTTCGGCATTTAACTTTTTCGTTTGGGCACATTATTACACTTATATTCTCCTAACAACTTGTTTGGGGGCCGTGCCATAGCTGAAGCGGTTAGTCGCTTGCTTCCCACCGCGGCGGCCCGGGTTCGATCCCGGATTTGGTCAAGGGGGATTTGTGGTAGACAAAGTGGCTTTGGGGCAGGTTTTCTCCGAGTACTTCGGTTTCCCCTGTCAATCTTCATTCCACCAGTTGCTCCACAATCACCCTCACCTCTCATCTGGGGCTGGTACAATAGGCCAGAAGTGGCCGCAGTGTTGTATCCCGGTGATGGGACAGATTGCATTTTGGCAGGGCGAGCGGTTCCCTTGGGAGTCACTGTGGCGTGTGAGAGTACTGCAACTTGAAATTAACTAATACATTTATTGATAATGTACACAGTTGTAGAGAAAACCCTGTTTGTAAGAAAATCAATGGTGTGCCTGAACAAGGGCAGCGGCCGACTCCTTGTATTAGACAGCTCCTGCTCCACTTAGTGCATACTCAGGCAGCGTCGATATCAAAAAGCGTCTTTGCTTACGCCCCGTGTGGTATATATCTGGTCCAGTTAGGGCGTTACCCTTCTGGAGTAATGTGACTAGCGTCATTCATTGCATCACCCTCATGAGTTTTTGGAGGGTCCACAGCTGTCTTGTTTTTAGTAAAAGAAACAAGCATCTTTCTTGTGACAGCACAGGTAAATGACAAAGCTCTAATCTTTTGATCCTTTCTGAAGTTAATCTCTTGATACTTCCTGTTGGTACAAACGTTTCATCATACTATGTGTTCATAAGGTACAGGCTTTTCCTCATATTACTTTATACCATATAACATGTTATATCAATAAAACAATTCATTACATACTATGTATCCCCATATACCACATAGGAATTAACATATACAAGAGTTTATAGTATAAGCATCACCATACCTTATACAACAATCTATACCAGGTGTCACCATATACAACAGCAGTACAAGGGTCTTAGTCCCACCCCACTAGCAATAAAAAGACCGCTACTTTTCCTGTGCTATCTCACATATGCAGCCTATTACCAGCGGACATCTCATTAGTGCGTGACTTTATGCGCTGATCGCCTGCCTATAGTATTGCGTCATCCACTAAACAGTGGAACTGACAGCCGTATTTTTTTTGTGATACTTTAATTTTGAATAAAAAAAACTTCTAATTAATATTGTAACGTGAATGGCGTAGCGGGACGTGGGGATCGCGTGATCACTGTGATCTCGCGAGTGACGTCACATACCCCCACTCCGTGCATCAGTGTGCAACGCCCGGTAGACACCCCTTTCCCCTCGGTGACTTAACACGGGACGCCAGAGTTGCTACGTAACGGTAAACAACTCCCGGCAGCGCTGCCTAGCAACGCCTTTGTAAACACAGCGGGGAGTCCGTGCAACGACTGTTACTAGGCAGTCGGTAAACACTTCCTTGCGCAACAATGGTGGCTATTACGTAACTGTTTTCTGTGTTGTCCGCAACGTTGCTAAATAAGGAGCATTGAACACTATTCCACAGTGAGTTACGAGATAGGCAGGGAGTCAGTCAGTCAGTGTGTGAGCAGGAGTGACACAGTGCGGATGGAACAGTCACCGACCGGAAAGAAGAATACCGGAACGTGTTATTAGAAGTGATAGCCTGAGAAGCAGATGCTTGGCTCACAAGAGAAGTAATTGGGGGTGTGTAAAACAGTGACACTGGAATAGCTCCCGTATCGTAGGGTGAATACGAGTAGACTACTGAGGACAGAGTGAATAGAATATTGCGTAGGGTTTGTAAAGTGTGTAAACCCGTAGCAGTGTTATAATTAATTGAAGCCAAGACTTGTAAGTTGTTCCATAAACCAATCAACAAACTGAACGGCCTCTTAAGTGGCAAAACACGTTATAATATACAGAAAAACATAAAAAGAAAACCCAATGAAACGTCAAACATACGATGATTTCTATTTTGATAAAGGGAACAGGCATGGG